GTGGGTGGGTGGGCAGGGGTCAGGCCAGACTTGCCAAGGACACGATGCTCGAGAAAGGGGTGGGGAGTGAGCGGAAGTTGGAGGGTTGGAAGAGGGCTTCACAGCCAAGGAGCAGAGGCAGGGGTAGGGAGGGGAGCAGGGAGCATCCGGAGAAGTGCAGGTGTCACTGTGGTCTCTGTGGGAGGTGGGCTGGACCTGTGCTGGGAGCAGGTCATGGCCTTGCCCGTGTCCTTGAAGACTTGATGCTAGACAAGGCTTGCTCTGACACGGGAGTGGAGAATAGGTGGGGGAAGACTTTTCCGAATGATGAGGTGAAAAATGATGAAGGGCTGGACTGATGAAGAGACTCTGGACATGGAGTGTCATGGTGATGACTCAAAGAGAAGGGAGAATTCCCAGTAAGGGTAGACAGACAAGGGGACACTTTTAGGCATGATCTTGAATCACTGAGACCAGGAAACATGGAGGGTACTAAGGTTTGAATGTGTTCCCCTAAGTTCTGAAAGAAAGCAGCCCCTCCCCCCTCAGTCCCCCAGCCCCACCCCCAGCATCGTTGGATTCAGCTACAGCAGCCTTAGGAATGTTCCTTTTGGAGGGTTCAGTGGTGGTCAGAGGTTGGAGAGTCCAGATTTTCCCTTGGGGAGAACAGAGACAATGACAAGGACATGTTGAATGCTCACATTGAGCTGACCACATGCTTTTGCAGGTCCCTGGGAGGTGTCAAAAATGAGAGGTGGGAGGGTCCACGAACTTGGCCACTGAGCCGTGTATCCTGTGTCACCCTGGCTTGCAGAGAGTTTTCTAGAACAGACCCTGTGCTTGATGGTACCATTCGCTGGAACCACACATCGTGCATGACTGTACCTTTGGTCTCGCTTCGCCCAGCTCTTTAACTCAGGCTACTGCTGTAGTAAAGAAACTGCCTGGGGCCAGTGCTGAGGCTCAGCAAGTCAGGACTCCACCTGCCACAGCAGCATCCCGTACACACACCAGTTCATGTCCTGGCTTCTCTTCCTGCAGTCTGCGTCCCTGCTAGTGTGCCTGGGGAAGTGGTGGAAGATGAGACCCCTGCACCCACATGTAAGACGTCGATAAAGATTCAAATTCCTGTCCCAGCCCTGGTCACGGAGGCTGGGGAGTAAACCTCTGGATAAAAGATTCATTCTCTCCCCACACAACTACCCAATTTTGTCTTTCAGATGAATCTTAAATTTATTTAAATTTAGAAAAGAAAAAAAAATCTACCTGATTTTCTCTATGAGTGAGAACACAGGGTGAATCCTTGTGAACTTAAAAAAAAGAGCTAGGGTATGGTGAAAAAAAGTTGACAGTGCACTGCTTTTTTTTTTTTTTAGCCTCTATGCACTTCTGAAGCTGCCCAAAGCTGCGTTCCCTCCTTTGACTCACAAAGGATCTTCGCAAGTTCATGGAAAACGCATAGGATCAAAAACAAAAACAAAAACTATGCATTTCAAATTGTTTGGCACTAAAGTAACTTTGTCTTTTCATTTCATTTTCCCACAAATTTTTTGATCTTGTGCATCTGTCCTCATTCTCAGAGTTCCTGAAGGCTTTCGAGATGGCTACTTCCGAGTTCTTCTGGAAACACCAGCAACCTGAGTTTGCTTCGTTAGTGTCCTGCCCACCACAACCCTCAGCCCAAAGGGTCTGTCCCACACATCCTGTCCCCTCCGCAGAGCGGCTGGACCCAGGGGTGCCTTGGTCACTGGTGAAGAAGGGCACATGGCCCCTGCACCCCCTCTTGCTTCGCCTACACCTTCCCTCCTACTGCCTCTGCTGATGTCTGGCCTTCGGGCTGTGCTCAGACCCACAGGGAACCTGTGCCAGACAGAAGGTCTTCTGTTCCCTGCTCTGGTCACTCTCTTCCCAGACATCCAACACCTTCACCCTCCTTCCTTCCCTCTCTAGTACCTTCAAAACACTTCCTTCTGGAGCCTTCTTCCCTCCCAGCCTCTGCCTGAGTGGGCAGGAGGGGGCGCTGCTGCCCTGGGCTGGGCCAGCCACATTGCAGGGACAAGTGCTGGATTTTCAGGTTTTGCCCTACGGTGGGCTTGAGCCTTAAGGGCCCTGGTGGGAGGAGCAGACCACACAGGTGACCTCTTTCTCTCCCTGCCAGGGTCTCAGAAGAGGAGCCAGAACCAGCCGGGGGGTGGGGGGTGTTGGGGAGGAGGCCAGCTCTGCACTTCTCAGTGTCTCTACCTGGCTTGCCCTGGACAGGCTGTTACTGTTCCCTGCTTGCTTCCAAAGTTCCCTCAGGCACATGAATCTCAGGATCCTGTTGCAAGTCTGAAGTGTGCTCCCAGCCTCTTCCTCCTGAACATGGTTCTTCCAAGGGGTGCTTCAGACCACACCATCCTATGCCTTTTCTGTTCTTGTAGGGGTGTGCCCCACTACAACTTGCCCGGGGCCTGCAGGTGGGGCTCCCAAGACCGGTGAACTCCATTTAGCACTCTGAAGTTAGACCTGCTGGATCAGCACCTGCCTGCACTGTCCTCGCCCACTGCTGGACCATCTGGCATGACCCATGGATGAGAAGGCGCAGATTGCCATGGGAGACCCAGCAGGAGTCGCTGAGAATGATTCTAGGGGAAGAGGCCAACAGGTGACCTGCAGGACACATATCATGTGACCGGGGATAATTTCCATGGTCCTCATCAAGTTCTTTGTCCCAGACACAGAGATAACTGCTTGTGAGTCAGACTGCGCTGAGCAGGGCAGAGGTGGGCTGGCTCTCTTGGGGCACGCCTGATGGCTGTGGAGTAAGCTGGACTGGGTGGGGCAGTGGGGTAATTGTCTAGGCAGGGAGGAACGTGTGGTGGCAGCACAGGGGCAGGAAGAACATGGAGTTGGAAATACTGAAAATTCCACCTGGCCAGAGCACAGGGGTCAGCTGGGGGCAGCAGCTGCAGGGTCTGCTTCGTTCCTGTTGGCAGTGTGACCGGGCATCGGATCCCTAATCAGGCTCTTGAAAGGAAATGAAGGACGTAGGCACCCTAGCCCAATCCCTTGCAAATAAATACCTCGCCTTCCAGGGATCTAAATATGATTAAAATGTCCTTTCAGCAACAACTGCAGGGAGGGAGTGCTGGAGAAAATGAGATAGGTGAGGGTAAGAATGAACCATGGTTCTACCTGGCTGCCAGCGTGTTTTGGCTAGTGGAGAGCCGTGGGGGAAGAGTCCCAGGTGTGAGTCCACCAGGAGGGGAAGGGGCAGCAGCCATGAAGGAGACTCCCTGAGGCCCTCGTGCAGAGGGAATCTTCACGTGGCTACCATCTGAATTAAGAACCTCAGGTGAATGGCATTTGATAGGTGCTCATTCTAGTGGGGCAGACAGTCCACAAAACGCCATAAAAGCTTTGTATTAGATGAGCTCCCCAGCTGCCAGTGTTTTGGGCTCTAACATGCACTGAATCCTCTGCAGTTAACTAATTTATAAACTCTATTATCTAGTGACTTCTGGGCTTTTCACCTACAGATCATGCTGAGAGCCCAGCTTGCCCCGGGCACTAATTCACATAATATTCCAGAAATCTCAGATCCTGAGTGCAAAAGGAAGTGGCTGCAGCAGTCGCTGCACTGGTGTCCTTGGCCACCACCCCTCCTCTGGATTTTGCATCTGTTCCCAGGAGTTGGTTTCTGGTTCTTGGATGGTTCTAAGCTTCCCAGGGTCAGAGCAGTCAGACCTTCTGTGGAAACCCATTTCACAAACACTTTCATACATGGCAATGAGTGTGCTCTGTGATCCTGCCTGGTTTGCGTTTGCCATTTCGCATTTTTCAGATGAAGAGAAGTGAGAGTCTTGGGCGTGTCAGCCTGGTAAGGAGCAAACCCGTACCCTCAGCTGGCAATCGGGGCTGCCGTGTGTGCCCGCCACGGAGCTGCCCAGGACAGCGCATCTAAGGAGGGTGCTCTTTGAGTTAGAATCCTAACTCTAGCACCCATTGGCTGCCCTGACAGTGGGACTACCAACTTATTCCTCACGGCGTCCACTGGCCCTCTTCCAGTTAAGAACCAGATCCCAGCTGGACTGGCACACTTCTTAGTCCAGCAGGCTCCAAGCTAATTCAAAACAATGGCAAATGATGACCGCTAGCCAATTATTGAATCTGCTCAACATTCAGGGTCCAATGACTTCACTGGAATGCGGGTGCCCCGACAGGTTTAAGCCTTGAATGTACTTCGGATATGGCTTTAGGTTACACAGACACTTCTGGGAAATAATGATAGGAGGGTGGCTTCTCAGAAAAGTAAAAAAAATAGAGAGGGGGAGTTGGTGTTGTGACGCAGTGGGTTAAGCTGCAACTTGTGACACCAGCTTCCCACATCAGAGCTCCAGTTCTGTGTCCTGGTTACTTTGCTTACGATCCTGATCCCTGTTAACACATCTGAGAAGGCAGTAGCCGGCTATCCCGAGTGCTTGGGCCCCTGCCACCCATGTGGGAGACCCAAACTGGAGATACCGGCTTTTGAGTTTGGCCTGGCCCAGCCTTGGCTGCTGCAGTCACTTAGGTGATGAATCCGTGGATGAAAGATCTCTGTTTCTCTGCAACTTTGACTTTTAAAATAAATAATAAACACTTCTTTAAGCACACACACAAACACAACTCCAGGAACGAGGCAGGTAGAGAGTCAAACTGAGGGCTGACAGACAGACATGTGGCCTTTATAACTTGCTACTGTCCGTGGACATGTTTTCTAAAACAAAAGAAGAGTCTGCTGTTGTTCAGTGGAAGTGAGAACAGGGTTTTCACGGCAGCATCGGTGTCCTATCCAAAGCAAATACCCAGATGTCCCATGCCACTTTCACGCCACTCGCCCTTTCCGTAGTGAGGGTCTGTTGGTGTGGGAGACCTGTGTGAGCCAGGGCGCAGGGCCGGCAAGCGCTACGCTCAGACTGACACAGGCACGTGTCCTCGGCAGCTGCGGAACTGACATTACAGATCAGGCCTAGAAATGAGACGACCGACAGCGTTCCCCTAGGAGCGAATTGTGCTGATTTATTAGAGAATGCAGTTAAAAAAAAATAGTTTGAGGTTCACCTCTCCAGTTTAAAAGCACTTAACCAGAAACACTTGAACAGCTATGCAAAGGTCTCTTCCCGTCACCGGCTCCCTCCTACTCAGGGCTGTAAACAGGGTGTGGAGAACATTCAGTGGATGTCTTGACATGAACCATCAAAGAACTCAATGCAAACGCATTTTCTTCCCAAAGAGAGAACCATCTTCCAAATTTCCAAAGCATGCATTGTTACTTGGCATTGGGCATTTCAAAATGGCAAATTCTTGTTACGGTATTGTAAGGCCAAAATATAATAGCTATTTACCAGACGTTCACATTACAACTAGAAAAGAATTACAAATGTCTATCTGGTGTAACAATTCCATCAGGAATTCATGGGAAAAGGCACTGCATCCCTCTCCTAGCAACACACAGCTACTAGCCACTTGACATGCTTTGAGCTCAATCCCATTACACATTTCTATGACATACAATTCACAGGTAGGTTAATGTCTTCTAGTCTCCCACTGCCATATGTATGTATTTTTTTTTCACCCGAAGATACAACAGGCAGGAACGGATGCTCTCAGCTTTATGTACACGTTTATATTGGTATTTTGTCTGGGGTGAAAAAAAAATCAACTCTCTCAGTCAGCAGTTCCCAAGAAGGTTTTTGGCTATGATTCATGTTCACACGCTACCACATAAAAGAAGCGATCAAGACCGATACCTGACCCCAAACACCTGAACTAAAATTTCGCACCCACTCAAAATTGGCAGTGAAACTGCTGTTGCCCTTTTACTGCAAGAGCTAAACTCTGCATGTGAATCAGATCCACTTTTTTTGTTGTTGTTTTTGCAAAAGCACATAAATGTACCACAGGTGGCATTCTGCATAGGAATGCTGCTGCGAAGAGTTCAGGATCCGAAAAGGTGATGCTTCTCCAATGCTTTCCCAGCTTCCGCAAAGGGTATAAAATGACAACAGCATAACTTCCTACACGGACAAGGGTTAGTCTCAAAGATCATAAAATATACATGCACAGACAGTAGACCATGAGGCAGAAAATGGCATTGTGGCTGCTCTCACAACCTCTCCTGCCGGCGAGGACACCTGGTGGTTTGGCGTGGAGCTCCTTCCTGCGGGGAGGGGCATCTGCCCACAGGCTGCTTGGAACCGAAAGCTCCCCCAGACCCAAGATCTGCCTGCCCTTGGCAAAAAACAGAACCTACCAGGAAAGAACAAGAGAAGAACACTACTGTGACCGGCTTTTTCAAGACGTCCCCAAACGTCCGTGTGCGATCACCACGAACTTGGTGGGTGGCCCCAGACGCTCCTGGGTGCCACGCACACAGACTGGGGCAGCGGCACTGACACAAAGAGACAAAGCCTCGAATCTCTTCTGAGCAACATGAACTGGAATTTTCTGTGGCGGCGGTCACGGCTGCCACCTCCAAGGTTGTGTGCACCGGCGACTGGCACAGTAAATGACCCTGCCCCGTTGAGCATGACTCGGATGCATCTCCGTCCCTGCGCCGGCTCAGCCCAGGTGGATGGGCGTGTACTCGGGCCTCCTGGTCTGGATAATCTTGGGTTTGGGTCTCTTCATTCTTTCCATCTCCTCGTCCTCCTCGTTCTCTTGGTCGCTCTCACATACATGGACCACCACGCTGGGGGTGGTGTCGGTGGCCGCGTGCAGTTCATACTTCCCCCCTGGGGACAGAAAAAACAGTTGCAGGGTAACTAGGACAAGCCCTGGGCAGGGAGGGAGGGGTCTCCTAGCTGCCCCAAGACCTCCCCATTGTCAGCGCTTTTCAGGTGTGGGGCGTGGGCAGGCAGCTTGAGGAACAGCTGTCATGAGTGGACAAGAGTGCTTGGAGACACCTCCAGAGCTTCCCTCGGGGATGGGGTGCACCCCAGGGACCGGGCGATGCCAGGAACTCTAAGAGCAGGTGTGGTCCTGGCTGCGCCGATGTAGGCTGACCCCAGTATCATCTTTTTCTTTCTAAAACCAACTACTGACACCCTGCAAGCAGGAGCGTGCTGCTGCCCTGTGCCAGCCTCAGTTCCACCCAGTTCTGCAAGGGCGATGTGAGCCATCTGAGAAATCTGGCCACACTGAATGGAGGAGCTGAGCCACCACTCGGGGTGTCCCGCGTGGCTGCAGGGAGGGTTTGCAGCTTGGGTGCTGACGGGGACAGTGCAGCAGGGAGCCCAACACAGACATGTGAGCTGTGTGCCTGACCACTGGGCACCCGGTGCTCCCAGGGAGTGCTGCTTTAGCCTCCCTGGGAACTTCAGTCTCCCATTCTACAAAATGGTGATGACCAACAGCACGGCCTTCCTAGAGCTGGTCCCATGAGTGACAGGAAGCTCTTGGTACCAGGCCGTGGCCTCGTGATCTAGAGCTACGTACTGAGATGGAAACTGACTGATTTGAAACAAGTGCTAGAGGGATGACTTTCATTCTCTCCAGCCCCACAGTGGCCTGGGGTGAGTCTTAGCTCCGAGGTCCGGGTGTGGGACTTCTGAGTTCTGGGTAAACCACCTCACTGACAACCAGACTTCATGGCAAGCGGCAGCCAGGCAGGGTCCCTAGCTCCGGCCTTGTGGGAGACCATTCCTCCTCCCAAAGGTGGAAGATACTTTGGCTTGTCAAGCTGTCTACCTTGTCCCCTGCCCACAAGACTGGAATGTTCTTGGCCTTGGATTCCCAAGGGTCAAGGAGTCTGGGTTCTTCCGAGAAAAGTCAGGTTTGGGGGTCAAGCAGGTCACTGGAAAATGCTGGCCGAGGCCTTTTTGTAAGCCCTCATCTGTCCACCCATTGGCCCTTGTCCAGACAGCTGTGTCCTCAGGGCTGTATTATCTGCATAATCTCGGCCCTGCTGCTGGCAGCGGACACAGCTGGCATGGGTACTGCCAATTGGTGCCACCAGGAAGGACAACACAGGGCAGTGTGGTTTTCAGGGCACCTTTTATAAAGGACTGGTGGGTGCCGGGGAGGAAGGAGCCCTCACGGATGGCGCTTCTGGGGCCTGTGGGACAGTCTGACAGCTGTGTCCACTATCCCCTTCCTCCTGCCATCCACAGGTGTCCTCCGATGCCCATCCTCAGCTTCACTAACACACCCTGCTGGGTGGGGTGGGAGCAGGTGCTTCCTCAGACTGGCTGTGTTTGGAGTCTGACCTTGACCCGGGGCCAGCAGTTAAGTATCAGAATTCCTGCTTTTTACTGCAGAGGGCATTTCTGTGGGGTGGTATACTCAGAAATGGAACCTTTCAACAGGAAACCACTGATGGGCCGAGAAAATACACCCTCTGCCCAGCAGGACATGAACCTGCCGGTCAAGGACAGCCCGGGGGTTAGTGGTCTCAGGGGAGCTTGTATCTTCCCACCCCCAAATTCTTTCTCACAAGTAGGAGACCCTGGCTAGATCCTGGCAAATAGGACAGCAACCACCACCCACTCAGCAGCTTCCAAAAGTGGATGCCCAGGACACTGTGGGAAGAGCTTCTGACTCCACAGTGACCACACCTGGGAAGACCCATTTTATGGATGAGAAGCCTGAGGCATGGGTCCCCTGCCCTTCGAACACTAACTCCTTTTCCCTGCAGAGGCTGGGACCCTTCTCCTCCCTTGCCAAGCTCTGCAGAGAACCACACATTTGGCTCTTCACTGTCCTCCTGCACCTGCTACAAAGGTCAGGTGAGAAGCTGACCAGTGGATAAAATGACCTTGAAGCAAAACAATTCTTCTGGAAGGGAGGCCACTCGCCCTCCCTAGAGCCCAGCTGTTCATCTTCACTCTGAGTGAGGACCTGGGGCCAGGATTTGATGCGCCCACACGAGTTGGGCTCATATGGTATCTGCCCCTCAGCCTGGTGTTCACCTTGTGCACCTGTCTGGAGGATAACGGGGCCCAGCATGCATAGCAGGGAGGCAGAAGGCTGCGTGCTGAGGCAATGCACGCAGAGCATACCAACACTGATGGTGTGAGGGCCAGATTCAACAATAACGACACTTCTGTTCCTGGAGGTGGATGGGGCACCCATCTGGGCCCATGGCAGAGACTCCCCACCCAAGAGGGCTGCTTACCTGGCCCCAGCTTGGAGATAGCATATAAGAGATCATAGTTTATGACTGGCGTAGCATCCTCCACTTGCTTCCAACCAACTGGTGGAGAGGCGGGCGGAGAGATGAGGAACTGCTTGTCTGGGTTGGGCGGGGCCAGGTGTGAGCTGCCTATGTGTAGCGTCTGGGGAGAGATGAGAGAGGAGATGGTGTCAGCAGAGTCGATCTGCAGTGGAGCCGCAGCACCTTGCTGCAGCTGTAGATGCTAGCTGGGCCCAGGGCAGGGGTACCCAGGGACCATTACAGCCACCCTGGAAGAGAATGAGTGACACAGAAGGGCACCTGAACTTTGCCTATGGTATACACACACACACACACACACACACACACACACACACACACACACACACACACACACACCCAGCGCTCCTTACTGGGGCGTGAGACCCACAGGCACTGCCAGGAATACTGTCTGACCCTGGGCTGAGCCGTGGCAGGAGCAGGTTGAGATATAACTGGAAAACACAGTTCATGGAACTCAGAGGGGATCACAGAATCAGTTCCTGCCAGCTCCTCACACCCAATGGGCTCAGCCCCATCTCAGATCTGACACCGCTTTCCCTAGGCTAAAGCAGGGACAGGAGTCGGGACCCCCACTCACCTCTTCCCAGGTCTCCCTCCCCTCCAGATTTCTGGAGCGGATGCCAAATGTCAGGAAGGACCAAGTACCCACTTTCCAAGAGATTGAAGATGAAGAATGATAATATATGAAGGACCAACAATCTATAATCTTCGTGTGGCCTTATGAGGTGTGCCAGGGCTGTTGCCAAGTCCTGACCTGAAAAGCTCACCAGTTTGTGTTTCCCTGGACTTTAACATGCCCCCTACCCTGCTACCTCCTTCCGATCTTCACAATGAGTGTGCACTATGTTCACCATCAGAAAACATCAGAGAATGGCTATTTCCCTACAGCCCCACCCACAGGGAAAGCCCTAGGGGTCCCGGTTAGCACCCACCAGCCCTGCTGCCTGAGGAAGTGCTGGCGGGACCCTACCCCAAAACAACAAGTCTGTTGTTCCATTTTGGAGGAACAATGGTCAATGGGTACTCCATCTCTGCAAGAAGGGGGCAGGGGACTGAAGGGGAAGAACCTTCTAAAAGCTCTGTTTCCTCCCTACTGATAATCTGTCAGGTCCCTGTTACAAGGTCAAGTGGGACTTCAGGGTTGACCCTGAAGGTGGATGGGACAGTGGAATGCAGAAAAGCAACTCCATTCAAGCTTTTACTTCTTGGGCAGGGAAGGGAGTCAGGATCATGCTAAGAGGTTAGCTGTCTGAGCAGCTACCTCTCCCTTTTGGGTTCTGTGTACCCACTTGTGGATGCCTGGTGCTCCACTAAGCAAGGGTGCTGCCCGGCGGCCTTGGGAACCTGCACAGGCCACGGGGCAGGCAGCTGTGCTTAGGTTGTCTGGAGCAGGCCATAGCTCCATTCCCTGTGCTGTGGGCCTGTCCCTGAGCAGCCCTGCCCTCATCACTCAAAGGAGAAATGGAAAAGGCAAGTGCACATTTCCGTCTCCCCGTGTCTTTCCCGAGAGTGCACTGTGATCAGCATGCCAGCAGCTTCGGAACGTGGGAAGAACATGTGATGCTCCCCTAGCTGCCCGACTCACCTGGGCAAAATACAGCTTCATTTCCTTCCCAAGAAATTCCGTCTTGTGCAGCCGGAGCCTCGCGTCTGCTGCCGACAAGGGGTTGCTGAAGTTTATCCGGACTCGCTTAAAGCTCTTGAAATACTGGAAGGTGATATCCTTGTCGTAGGTCCTGAAGAGGGACTCAAATTTGGCCTGGAAGACACCAGTGGAAATTAAAGGAGTCAGCCGGTGCCTTGGCTATGGGGTTTCTCCGGAGTCTCCCTCCCATGCCTCGGAGGGCAGGGTTTTTCTCAGTCCCAGCGGAGTGCACAGGTCTCCTAGGAAAGTCAGGAGGTTGACGCACTGCACTCATTCAATCAGCAAGACCATTACCAATACAGACGCCCACACTCAGGAAAAGCCCCTGCCAGAGGAGGTCCTTCCTAAAAACTCTCACCTGTTTCCGTCTGCACCTGCTACTTTAAAAAATCCACATCTTGCCAATGGAGCTTACACTGTTGCAGGTTGGTATACAGGTTCACACACCTGGCTCTTGGGAAGAACAGCCCGTCTCTGGGGGCTGGCTCAAGAAACGGCCTGTCAACCTTGCCTTGAGGGAAAGTTGTTCAGAGAGTAAGGAGGGCGAGGCGGCCACTGCCCTTGGTCAGGCTCCAGTCAGAGAGGGCGCTGGGCCCGGTGAGAGTTACCAGGTGGCTGTGCTGGCCGTAAGTGTTCTGGGAGTCTTGCTACAGATCGGATGCCCTGACCAGGTCGTGGGAACACAAGTGACCAGAAAAGAGGGGGTGGCCCAGAGCCAGGACCCCAAGCAATTGCTGTCCCCACAGGTGACTCCCTGGCTGTTGGTGGGAATTGGGGACAGAGGTTGCTTGAGTGTCCCTGGCTGCTTGTCTGCCTGTGACTCTTGCTGTGTCCAGAAGGGGATCTCCAGAGCCCAGTGTGAGTGTGCGTGTGCGTGTGCGTGTGCGTGTTGGGGGATGCCTGACCAGTGGCAGTTACAAGCTCCGTGACTCTCGGGCATGGTCAAGTTTCTGGCTACAGGGTACCCTGGTAAATCTGCAATTTCACATGACCTCACTGGCTGGCTCTGTGACCAATCATGTAGCTAGGAAGTTAGGATTCTGCACTGGGCAGAGATGACTTGATTGAATCGACTGAGGATATGGTCAGGGTTCAGGAGGCCAGAGTTGTCACAGACATGCACGTTCCAGGTTAGATCTGCAATACTTATACACCACATCCCTGCTACAAGTCTTCTCTACATTTCTAACTGGAGGTTGACTACTAACACTGGTGGGCTGAAGACAACGAACCGCTTTGTACTCATGGAAGGATAACCCAGCATTCATGGTCATATAGCACCTGCCACCTGATGAGAACTGTGGCCACAGGCCACAAGGAGGGTGCAGAATTATGGACTTAAATTTTCATTTTTTTTTAAAGACAGCCCTTCATACACCCAGCATGGCTTAGGGAACAACAGCCCAGCTGGCACGCACAGCACCCATGTCCATTCGCTCAGTCCGAAGGTCAGCCAGACAACTGGAGAGCTCCCGGGAGAGGTCTCATGCTTTCAGTCGAGCGAAGCAGAAAAGGAGAGTGAAAAAGTAACATACATTACTGGCAGTGATGGGGGCCTGCCCCAGGAGGCACACACGCTCTGGTTGAAAGTTAGGTACCCACACTGCACGATATCCCCACGGCTGCACTTTCCCCGGCCAGAGAGGGCTGGAAGCTTGACAAGCCCTGCTGTCATTGCTAACTATGGGCGTGCGCTTAGCCTTGCAGCGTCTCCGTCCTGGGGTTGAAACCAAGTGATTCTGAACTCTTCATTGTTAAAAACATTCACACGGCCCACGTGTGCACGGGCAGTCAGGAGAGGTCTCCCTCTGCAAGCTAACTCACAGCATGCGCAGCAAAACAAAAATAAAAACAACCGCAAGGTGCCAAGACGCTGTCTCCCTAGACCCCAGTCTCAGTTGCTGAGATCTTTACAAGTTCCTTCAGGGCTAATTCTGCAGGCAACAGCTCAGGCTGTGCGAGGCGCGGGATGCTTCCGAGGGACCTCAAAACTCAGAAAAACGAAACAAAACACTTCACCAGAGTCAACTGCATATCCCCCCCGCACCAAGTACTTCTGCTAACAGTCCCGGTTACAATCAGCCTTTGGAAAAAAAAAGTTATGCTCCCAAATCACGTGACATTGAGAATTCTTACCCTGGTTTCACTTTCGCTGAAGATCTCACTGTTTACCACACAGGCAACCAGGGAGCTAAAGCTGTAGTCAAAGTTTCTAAAGTGCATCTCGCTTCCTTTATGGGTAGAGACACACACACAGGCGGCTGGATGCCGGCTCCTTCCTTAGCGAGAGGGCAGTCCGTGAGTTCTTCCTGGAGCCAGCCCTTATAAAGCACCCAGGGCCAACCCCCTGGGAGGGAAGGGGAAAAAAAAAAACACACAACCGGCACAGCTTCAAGAGCATCCTGTTTGGACAGCAAATCCTGAGTCAAGTCCCTAATGCTTGCAGGCAGACAGGGACAAAGTGTCAGCTTCTACTGGAAAGAGGTGACGTCAACACTTTAGTCATTTTCCCTATGCTAATTAACTCCCAGCTCCGGGAGGATGGAAAAAACAGCTGAGGTTGGCTTCGCAACTGCTTTATCAAGGCCTCTTGCGGCATAGTTTCCATTGGTAGTAATTCCATTCAGCCAGTCAGACACCACGCTGCCTTGCTGAATGGGACAGCCCTTCCTTGAGATGGAAAATGTTGCAGCAGACGGGACCGAGGTCCGCCACGGCAGGAGGCGGTAAACAGCAGCTCGTGTCCCGCGGCATTCTAAGGCTTTGGGAGACCTGGAAACCCAGGTGTTGGAGAGTTGCTGGGTCCCTGCGATTTCCTTGAAAACCAAAAACTTGGGGCAATGGAGGAATTATTTGGAAATCTGTCTCAGTTGATGAAGAGAGTGGGATTCATTTGAAATGTGGTACACACACACACACACACACACACATACGCTAAATGTCCAATTCCCACTAGACACAGTGGTCCAGTGCGAAGAGATCCTAGAGTTTTTCCCCTTGAAAACTACATAACTGGAATTTAAGAACCAGGACTGTGCAATATATTTGATCGTTTTCTTGGGGTTCATGAATTCAGGCAATGATAACAAAAACATTTCAGACACCCTAGCTGTGGGAACCGAGCGGAAAACGGGCAGGAAGCTCTGCTTAGCGAGCAGGGCTATATTTAACCCTGCCTGGGGTGGGCATCTGCAGGGGCGGCTAAGACGCTGCTGGGACATCAGCACGCCCCTCTCAGAGGTCAGCTCTGGTCCTAGAGTCCTACCTCCCCCTACACACACACACACACACACACACACACACACACACACACACATTTGTGGAGTGAACCCATGAACGTGAGCTCTCTGTCCCTCTGCCTTTCAAGTTAAATGAAAATAAATACCGAGGGAGCAGCTCCTGAAACTTATTAAGTGCCTTCCTCCTTCAGAGTCCCATGGAAGTCTGCTGGGAGTCCTCATCAATTTCACTGACACCTAAAAGCACTCAAGTTCCTTAAATATTCTTTGTTGTTGTTGTTCAGGGGCACGTAGGGACAGCTCTCCAAAAGTTGAATGGAACCCTACGATTTCCTTTGAGCAGGGACTTCAAAGACTCATTGAAGTCAGCCAAGAATGAGAAAAGAATATATGCGATGGAAGACAGCGAAAGCTACAGCCTAGCGGCGTGTTTCTGCCTGCACCGAGGGAGCAGCCAGGGCAGGCAAACATTAAGTATTTCTTCACTTGGGCACACCGGGCCTGGCTGCCCGCGGCAGTTATGTAAGCAACTGGCCACGAAGCTTGCTTTGCTAAATTACCTGGGACCTGAAACTCGGGAAGACCTATGTCAATAGGACTAAATTCCATGTCAGGGGCAGCAGGACTAGGTCAGTCACGAACAGAGCCAATGGGGTCTCCTGCATGGTGCTTGGTGACTGGGGTGTGCATGGAAGTGCTGCACTTCCAGTGCACACAGGTGTGGCTGGTGGTGCTGGTGGGACTGCAGTGTGGGTATGGGAGGTGGGGGGGCAGGTGGTGGTGGTGGCGTGGGAATGCAGCGCGGGAAGCTGGGAGTGGCTCAGGAGCACCCTCCCTCTATTCCGCCTCCCTTTTGCCTGCAGTTCCTTGGGCACAGGTGTTAGCAGATGATTTTTGAAAAACTGTGGATCTGAGATAACAGCATGGATTCATGGTTACTTTGATTTCATTCAATGAATGAAAGCAAAAAAACAAAAGCAAACAAACAAACAAAAACAACCAAAGCAAGAGAAAGCACAGTGGAGTGTCTGGAAGCCACTGAAAGCTCTGGTGGACACGCTGCGTGGTTTTGAACTTGGCTTTGACGTGCTCCATTTGAACGGAGCCTGAGCATTTCTGATTTCAGGGTGGGGGAGGCTGCCAAACACGCATGCTTGTCTTTCAAAAACAACAAAAAAGTGACCAGGTCGCCCAAGGTGGCAGAGAGGACCCCTGGGCTCCACTTCCCTGAGGCCTCCCTGGCTGTGGCAGGGCAGGTGTGCGGCCGGCTTGGGCTGTCAGCATGCCACACAGAGCAGCTGGGCTCCTCAGGGGCATCTGTACCCTGCTGCTGACCCAGGATGCAGGGTCTCCTGGGACCCCTGTCCCTACACTCTCAGAGGGAAGGCGGCTCTGCGCTTTGCCTCAGCTTCCCCTCTCCTGCTGGCGTCTATGGTTGGAGGACAGGTCTACTGGTGTCAGACATGACCTTGGACTTGTAAAGGTCCCACGTGAAGGAACATACACTGAGAACACAAATAGTCAATCCATGGTGAGTGCCGCAAAGGTGACTTTCCTACTTCCTATTCCTGGTGGCTTGGAAGACAAGGACGTTCCTGACTCATCACGTGTGCTGGAGGCACCAGGGCCCGCAAAGGGCGGCCTCGCCAAGGCTCCCGCAACAAGATCACAACTCCAGGCAGGAGGACTGCAGCCGTGAGTTAACAAAGAACTAAAATGCTTCCAGTCACCTGCAAGCTTTGGATGGCTTGCATTTCTTCCACTCACGCCATTAAAAAGAAAAAAAAAATCCTATAAATGAGGCTCTATAAACTGGGTCTCTTTGAACTGGCTCCCAGCAATGAGAGTACATTTTCATTAAGGAGTTCCTTTACTGGGGGGAGGAAAATGTGAGGTTGATGACAAATTCCATCATCGTCAATGCAGTGCTCCTCAGGTGGAGTCCCGGTGACCTCAGCATGACCAGGAGAAACCCTGGTGGGTTGGCAGCAGAGATTCATGAATGTGGTGCCAGCCAAACTTCCTGCTGAAGGAGCCCATCAGCGAGGGCTTGGCCAAGCCCGGGATGCACTCACGGCCACCTGCCTGGCATCCGGGATGCTGGTCCTGTCTCCCTAGGGGAGCTGATGATAGAGGCATTCAGAGGAGCACTGGATGGGGGCTGGGAGCCTGATGGGGGAAGGGAGTGCTCTGGCTTTGGGACACCTTGGACATTGCTTTCTGGCTTGGGTGATGTAGCATGAGAGGTGGGGGGCACGTGGGCCTCACATGAGCACACGGTGGCCATGCTCAAGATCATGCATTTTCTGGCTGGGATGTTCGTGGATCTCCCACGTCCTTGTAGCATGAGGCACACAGGGACTGTGCCGGGGAGGACGATAGCCCCACTACACACTTGTGTAACACAGGCTTTGGGAGGTTTTCCTGGGTCATTGCAGAGAGCTCCCACATGTCAGTTCCAGAAAGAATAAGTTCCATTTAAGATCTGCTCACTTAAGGGGCTGGAATTGTGATGTAGTGGACATCCCATATGGGCACTGGTTCATGTCCCTACTGCTCCACTTTGCATCCAGTTCCCTGCTTATGGCCTGGGAAAGCAGTAGAGGATGGCCCAAAGCCTTGGGACCCTGCACCTGTGTGAGAGAGCTGGAAGAAGCTCTTGGCTCCTGGCTTTGGATCAGCTCAGCTCCGATAGTTGTGGTCATTTGGGGGAAAAAAAATCAGTGGAAGATTCTCCTTTGTGTCTTTTCTTCTCTCTATAAATCTGCCTTTCCAATAAAAGTAAATAATTTTTTAAAACTCAATCTACTTTTTAAAAAAAATTTTTATTTACTTTAATTGGAGGAGAGAGAGGAGAGACAGAGAGGAAGATCTTCCCTTCGATGATTCACTCCCCAAGCGGCTGAAACGGCCAGAGCTACAGGATCCTAAGCCAGGAGCCAAGAGCTTCCTCAGTGTTTCCCATGCGGTGCAGGGTCCCAAGGCTTTGGGCCGTCCTTGACTGCTCTCCCTATGGGATCCTGATGCATTCAAGGTGAGGACTTTAGCCACTAGGCTACTGCACCAGACCCTTAAACAAATCTTAAAAAAAAATTGCCTGTTTTGGGGCCAATGTCGTGATGCAGCAAGTTAAGCCGCTGTTTATAGCCCTAGCATCCCACATGAATGCTGGTTTGAGTTCTGGCTGCTCCACTTTCAATCCAGCTCCCTGTTAATGCACCTTGTAAAGCAGCAGAAGATGGCTCAAGCACCTGGGCTCCTGCTCGCCCATGGGAGACGTGGCTGAAGCTTCAGTCTTCAGCCTGGTCCAGCTCTGAATATTTTGTCTATTCGGGGAGTGAGCCAGCAGATGAAAGAACTCTGTCTCTGCCTCTCCTCTCTGTAACTCTGTATTTCAAATTAAGTAATCAAACATTTTAAAAATCAAAACAACAAAAAGGGTCGCTCAGCTTGTCCTTGTTAATGCCCATTTTTAGGGTGTGTTTGAAAAGGATGTTCAGGGTGAAATAGAATTTATGTCGAATTTACAAATAAAGCGCTTTGCCAGCAGATGTGTTCAAAAATCCTGTGCTTATGTGGTTGGCAGGCTGCTTGCCAAGTGGCCATGTGATTGAATTCTCTGCTTCCTTTAGGCTTCTTCATGAAGAACAAGTGTGAGGCAGAGAACAGGGCAAAAAATTCTTTTTGCTATTGGTAAGGGAACTGCTATTTTTTTTTGTCTACTTTTAGGAATAATCAGGAAACGAGTTCAGGGAAGTCCAGATTGGGCTCAGGAAGTCCTATGCCTTACCTCTTGTAAAATTTGCTTGGCCACAGGGCAGGGCCACTATTTCAAGGAAAGTGGAAAGCAAAGCGGGTGGTCGCTTTTGTCCCTGACTCAAAATGGCCCGGAGCCCCATGGGGGGTGCCTGCCTCCAAGTGCAGAGGAGTGCGGAGGATCCACACCTGCAGCGAGAGACCCATCCCACAAGAGCAGCTCTTTTCAGTCAAGAAAGCCTGTCCTCCATAGCAAGAGACAGTTTGTGCCTAATCAGGGAGACTGACAACAGACTTGGGCCTGGGGAAAGCAGCAGCAATGACTGGCACACTGATGGGACGTGGCAAAATGCAAGAGCGCCTGCAGGTGACGCGGGCTTCCACAGGACCTGGGATTCCCAGTCCCTTCAGACAAGGCACAAAGAGCTTATGTGGGCAAGCCCCAGACTCAGCAGTCAGCTAGGCAATGCATATTCACACCGATAAGGGCCACAGCCCCAAACCCAGAGGTGGGCAGAAGAGCCATGGTGGGCTGTGTGCTTAAGGGGTAAACAGAATGATGTCATAATCATCCAAAAGAGAAAGAAGAAAGGGAG